ACAAAATGAAATCAAGATTGCCAGGAGAAATATCAATAACCTGAGATACACAGATGACACCACCTTTATGGCAGAAAGTGAAGAAGAACTAAAGAGCCTCTTAATGAAAGTGAAGAGGAAAGTGAAAAAGTTGGCTTAAAACTCAACACTCAGAAAACTAAGATCATGATAGTTGGTCCCATCACTTCATGGCAAGTAGATGGAGAAACAATGGAAACAGTGAGAAACTTTATTTTGGGGGGCTCCAAAATCACTGCAGATGGTGACTGCAGCCATGAAATTAAAAGATACTTGCCCTTGGAAGAAAACTATGACAAACCTAGATGGCATATTAAAAAGCAGAGGCATTACTTTGCTGATAAATGTCCATCTAGTCAAAGCTATGGTTTTTCCAGTAGTCATGTATGGATGTGAGAGTTGAACTATAAAGAAAGTTGAGCACCGAAGAAATGATGCTTTTGAACTGTGGTGTTGGAGAAGACTCTTGGGAGTCCCTTGGACTGCAAGGAGATCAAACCAGTCAATACTAAGGGAAATCAGTCCTGAATATTCATTGGAAGGACTGATGCTGAAACTGAAGCTCCAATACTTTGGCCACCTGATGCAAAGAACTGACTCATTTGAAAAGACCCTGATGCTGGGAAAGATTGAAGGCAGGAGGAGAAGGGGACGACAGAGGATGAGACGGTTGGATGGCATCACCGACTCAACAGATGTGAGTTTGAGCAAGCTTCGACAGTCGGCGATGGACAGGGAAGTCTGGTGTGCTGCAATCCATGGGGTCACAAAGAGTCAGACACAACTGAGTGACTGAACTGAACGGAACCATTTTCATATGTGGACATTTTCTAGGTAAGAGCTCTGATGTAAGAATTCAAAATGTGACTCTATCAACCAAGGGGCTTCCCAGGTGGTGCTAGGGGTAAATAACCTGCCTGCCAATGCAGGCGATATAAGAGACATGGGTTTGATTTCTAGGTCAGGAAGATCCCCTGGAGGAGGACATGGCAATCCACTCCAGTATTCTTGCCTGGAGAATCCCATGGACAAAGGAGTCTGATGGGCTACAGTCCATGGGGTTGCAAAGAGTTGGACATGACTGAAGCGGTATGTCAGAGCATAGCACAATGCATATCAACCAAATGAAGAATTTGGCTGAGAGTGTGAATGTAGGGAAGAGACCTCTTTTCAGGGCTCAGGTTTTCACTCCTGGCAACAACAACTAAAGGGACAGAACTATGTATTTTTACGCGAAGAGGCAGGAAACATCTGGATAAATGAATTAACACAAAGCTTGATCCAGAAATGAAAAGCAGAAGCTGTGGGACACAGGGGCCTGTGATTACAATTGCCAGAAGCAAAGGGGTTCCTTCCTTTCCAGCCTGATTAAGAACCCAAATAAGTCAGCACTGGGTTCTATATTCAGCATCTACCACCACCCAGGCATGGTGCTGGGTGCCTTATGATTTAATGTAGTCACATTTGAAATTCTTACATCAGAGGTCTTACTTACTAGATTTGTAAGTGAAAATGGCAGCATTTACTAGATTTTTTAGGCCATTGTTTTTCATATGGAGGAGACCATCTGACATTAATTAATCCTCATTTACTCCTCACAATCACCCTTTAACATAGGTGTTGTGAGAAGCCCAAGGCAATTCTGCTGAGTCACCAAGATTATTTACTCACCCTTATTTCTGCAGCCAACACTATGGCAAGGAAAGTGGGAGCTAAAATAGAAAATAAAATACCTGGCCCTAGCCCACAGTAAATTTGTAATAAAAATAATTCCTTTGTTGAATAACATAAATTTGTTCCAGAAAATAAAAATATTTCATTCAACCATTACTATTCAACTTTGGAACTTGTTCCTGGCAAGTCAGAATTTAAAAGAACTCAAAATACATCTATATTTTATGCATTGGATTAAACAGGGTGAAAATTTTTTTTTTAAGGAGAAAGAAATAAATGACATCTCAGTGTTCCACAAAACAAACTTTCTTAAAAACTTTTTTAAGCTTCTGTGATTAAATTAAACCCAAAACTGAGTGTACACAAAAGGGAAAAAATGTAAATATTAGAAGGGCATATTTTTAGTTGTTTTAATTATGAACTCACCCACAAACTTCCATTTCTTTCCTTCACAAAACCAAATTAATATTGGATGTCAAGTAGAGAAACTAAGAAGTTAAGGTCTGAATTTCTCTCTCCCTACAGCACGTGACTGTAAGTATCTTGTAATAAAGTTCTATGAAGCTGATGCAAAGAATCTCAAAATCACTAGATCTGAGTTAATAGTAGTTGAGTTGTTAGTAAACTCTAAACAGAATCAGATGAAGAATATGTTGAGAGGTTGGCACCCTGGATAGGGAGCGAAGATATCAAAGAAATAGCCCTAGCTAATGACCACATGACTGGGGTGAGTTAACTCTTCTTTTCATGGACCTGTTTCTGAATCAGAAAGCTGAAAAATCCAATGTCTGCTCTTCCATAATTCAATAGGATTATATAAGACTGTCAGGATACATTACTTAATATACTAGATGTAAAGGAAGTTAAAGTCTTAGTGAGAAAGAAACCATAGAGTGTATGTTCTGAGGACACAGGGGGAAGAAAAGTTCTTTGCACTGGTGTTAAAAAAAATCTCTAAAATTCTATAAACTCATTCATCTTATTTGCAAACCAGTTTGGAGTGAAATCAGAGTAGATTGCTATTTACTCACATTTTAATCATTCTTTTCTCATAACTTCCTTGTTGTGTGTTACATACACTCAGAATAATAGCTGGGAGTTTCCTGCCCTGAGAACAGGTTTCAGGATATTCTTTTGATTCAGGAAAATGGATATGTAATACGGTTAGCTGACATGTGCTCAAAGACAAAAAGAACAGAAAGATGTTCCGAACGATTAAACAAGTTGCTTTCTTGACTTTCCTTAGCCGAAGAAGGAAACAGTTATCAAGAAAACAATCCTCTCTGCCCCATGCTGCATGGTTCATGAATACCCTCTTAAATCATGCATCAGTAGTAAGTATAGAGTGTTTTGGAGTCCCAGGGGACAGTAACAGCATTGTTGCCCAGATCTCAGCAAACCCAGTATAGCTGTTTCTGAGATGCTAGCCAGAGAAAATCCAGGAGGGAGGGAAATAAAAAATTACAGGAATTTTTTGGCCCTAATTAATTTGCTTGGTTTGATTTCTGACAAGGAAAGAAATAAAAGGGTCATTTCCTCTATCCAGACCTCAATAAATAGAATTTTAAATTCAGGTAAAAATGAAAAGGAAGAAAAGAGAAGGAAAGTATCTGAAATATAATTCTTTGAATGCTTGATCCCCATGTGAGAGGCAGAATAATAGCCTCCCAAAGATGCCTGTGTCCTTTTAATCCCTGGAGACTGAGAATATGTTAAGTTACATGACAAATGAATTAAGATTGTTAATTGGCTGAATTTGAGATATGGAGGTTATCATGGATTAACCGGTTAGGCCCAATGTAATCACGAGAGTCCTTGTAAAGTGGAAGAAGTATAGATGATCTTATTTGCAAAGCAGACAGAGACACAGAAATAGAGAATAAATGTATGGACAGCAAGGGGAAAGGGGGGCGTGGGAGGAATTGGGAGTTTGTGATTGACACATATACACTGCTGATACTATGTATAAAATAGACAACTAATGAGAACCTACTGTATAGCTCAGGGAACTCTACTCAATGCCCTGTGGTCACCTAAAAAGGAAGGAAACACCACAAAGGGGGGTATATGTATATGTATGGGCTTCCTAGGTGGTTCAGTGGTAAAGAATTCTGCCAAGCAGGACACACCAGTTCGATCCCTGGGTCAAGAAGATCCCATGGAAAAGGAAATGGCAACCCACTCCAGTATTCTTACCTGGGAAATCCCATTAACAGAGGAGCCTGGTGGGCTACAGTCCATGAGGTTGCAAAAGAGTCAGACTTGACTTAGCAACTAAATAACAACATGTATACATATAGCTAATTTCATTTTGCTATACAGCAGAAACTAACACACATTGTGAAACAATTATACTCCAGTAGGGAAGAGAAATAGAAGAGATAGTCTGAGTGATGTGAAGTGAGAAGAACTCAACCCACTGTTGTTGGTATTAAAGATGGAGAAAGATACCATGAGTGGGGGAATGTGGGCGGCCCTTTTAAACTGGAAAAGGAAGTGAAATATCCTCTCCAAAAACCTCCAGAAAGGAAGGCAGACACCTTGATTTTAGCCTGGTGAGATAAGATAATAAATTTGTGCTATTCTAGGCTGCCAAGCTTGTGGTAATTTGTTATGACAATGACAGCAAATACATCTGAGTCAAAATCTAGAGTACTTCACAGCAAAAGCCAGCTGTATATTAATTATGTCCCAGCCCCAGTGAGATCATACAGTCTTAGAGGATAGTTTGCCTGGAATGCCTGGGTCAGGCCTGCTTGGGATTAACTCTAATGCCAGAGTTGCAATGACCCAGTCCCCAGCACTCCCTCTTTTGGTATTTTTCTTTAAGCACATGGATTAAGGAATATACAATATATGCTCATTGGACCTCTTCTTGGATCTGTGATGTAAAATGGGGTTAGACATTCACTCAGGATCCATTTTCAAAGTAATTTTCACAGAGAAAATAAAGCTAAAGAAGGAAAATCTCTTGATATTTTAATGGTGCCATGAGTGAGAAAATAAATAACTCCTTTAGCACTTTCTCCTGCCCAATATGCTCTGATCCCTGAGTTCCTGCTTTTTCCAGAATGTGGGTCAGTTTCAACATTCGGGACCCCAAGAACCACAACCCAAGATTCCTAAAAATGCAGAGGTGCTGCTTGGAATCCCATGGCACACGTGTGCTGACCAATTTAGATCACTTTGCCCAGAGTCAAATTCCTTCCCCACAGATCAGTTCTCTAACTTTGCCACAGTACTTCCTACCTTTGTAGGACTGTGTCTGCCTTTGGTTAAAATGTCCCAACACTTGCTACAGAACATACCGGATATCCAGTGACTGCTGCCAGGTCCATGGCCAACTCACAGGACTTGATCAAATCCTCCATCACGGCCAAAGCCTGTTGTAGGTCGGCTAAGAAGGCTGAATCCTTGGTCCTCTTTGGCGCATTCTGTGGAAACCAAATGCCTTATTGGAAATCAAAAGGTAAACCATCTACCAAGTGAAGAAAGAAAACAGGACAGAGATAAAGAGCTGTGGATCCAGCCAACAGGAAGTGACTGAGAAGATAGGTATATCAACCTGTTTCCTTGCTCCCAAAGGTGGCTAAAGATATTTGTTGGTTTAAGTGTATCATAGACACACACACATACACAAGCAAAATCCCTGACTACATTTTCTGCATTTCTACTAATGAAGAATGAAGTTCATAAAATCATGGACACCATATTCTGGATATTTAAGAGATATCCTGAGCTTTTGTAAAGCATGAAAACTGCAGCCCTGTAAAAAGGCTGCTCTCCCTTTTACTCCCCTACCCCTCAGGGCCTATTGAAAAGTACAGGTTGAGTATCATATTCCCATATTTAATGTGACAGTCTTTTCCTACGGATAAAATCATACTTAAAACCATTTCAGAGGAGGATATCTGTAAACTATACAAGCAAAGAATAGGCTGCCATGTGGAGGTTTACTAATGATTTTACATGTAAACACCACAATGGCGGCATTTGCCACACTGAATCTCCCCATATTGTGTCACCATTAAAGATGCCAAAGAGGTAAGCCAATGTGATCTATACCCCCCAAACAGCATGAAGACCCAGAATTAAGGGGGAAAAGCTAATTTAAGAGACCAACAAATATTCCAATGATTACTATTGTGACACTTAGGACATATTAGGGATGGTTGTTTCAGTTTGAAAGTCTTTCACTTAGGATTTCTGTATTTTATTCCCCTGCTACCTAGATAGTATATTTATCTGTTTTCTGGTAAATACAAACAGAAAGACTTTGGTTTTGTACACTTTTAAAAAACACAACAGTTTCCACAACAAAGACTAGAGAGCTCTTTGCTGCTCCCCACATAAAACCCGCTTCTTCTTGTACTCTCCTGTAAGACATAAGCAAAGGCTTGTGTGTTTTTTTAATCTCTGCTTAAACACTGAAGATTAGCCTCTTTGAACCAGAGAGATGAATGACAGGGCTGATGAATGGAGTGGAGCATGCTGCCTCCACTGAACAATATGCCATGGATTCTTACTTTCTTACTCATGGTAAATATGCTCCAGGTCCTGGTGAAAAACAACAGACTCTCACCTGAGTTTACCACGTCATTAACAAAGGATTAAAAGTCCTTACATCAGGCACCTCCCTCTTTACTAAACACTTGAAACTCAACTTACTTTCAGAGACTCAATGGCTCCTAGTCTCTCTCCTTCCCACTAACCCTCCTCCCACAAGCATGATGGGGGGCAAGTTTTGTGTGATGTAGGACTCTTACAAATGTTATTAAACCTCTTTACATTCTTACCTACATTATTAAACCCCTGTAACCCAGGCTAGCTCCACTTGCTCCAAGCTATAAAAGTATTACCTATCCCTTGAGCTTCTTTTAGTCTTAAGCCATCCCCACAACACCTTTTGACCAGGGAGGGCATGGAAACGACCACTCCTTGAGACACATGCCTCATGTTTTTCTTTTTATATCAGAATTTTATACTAGGGAAAAAAAAACCAAACACAAAAAAACACTTGCATGCCACAAGTTTCTTCCCATTACTGGTGTGACCATCACTTCTTCCAAGAGAAACTTGGTTGTCTTAGAATTCACACACACACATACACATTTGGAAGGGAATAAGGCATAATGTATACAGATTTACTAAGGAGTACAAAGAAGTAAATATAAATCATTCATAATCCTACCATGCAGGAAAACAACTGTAGGATTTTATTTTTTTTAATTTTATTTTTAATTGGAGGATAATTACTTTTCAGTATTGTGATGGTTTCTGCCATACATCAACATGAATCAGCCATAGGTATACATATGTCCCCTCCCTGTTGAACCTCCCTCACACCCCAGCCCACCCATCTTGGCAGGAATCCAAATTGATACATGAGAACAGAACATCTCACTATGGAGAACAGTACGGAGATTCCTTAAAAAATTAGGAATAAAACTACCATATGACCCAACAATCCCACTACTGGGCATATACCATTAAAAAAAACCATAATTGAAAAGGACACATGCACCCCAGTGTTTATTACAATGCTATTTACAATAGCCAGTACATGGAATTTTATTGTATTTACTTCCAGGCTTTTACATGTGCATTTCACACTTTCACTTACTTTTGTATTCCTGTGAAACTTTTTTATGTGGAAGGAAGAAAGTATATTACCACTTTTGCTGTTACAAATCCCCACTTTAAAATTGTCTTTAGTTTTTTTTTTTGTTTTTTCCTGACTATGAATTACGGAATGAATATTATTTTAGAAAATTTACACAATAAAAGTCATACACTAAGAATACAAAATCACCGTAAGTCCTTCCATGTAAAGACAAACACCATTAACTTCCCTGGTAGCTCAGACCATACAGAATCTGCCTACATTGTGGGAGACCAGGGTTCGCTCCCCAGTTCGGGAAGAGGCGCTGGGGGAGGGAATGCAACCCACTCCAGTATTCTTGCCTGGAGAATTCTATGGACAGAGGAGCCTGGAAGGTTATAGTCCATGGGGGTCACAAACAGACACGACTGAGTGACTAACATTCACTTCATTAGCAGTTAGTAAATAAAATAATATTTAATTTCCAGTACCTTAGCCGAACCTCCTTCTAGATCACTTGGGTCCATCTCCAAATCCTCAGGAGACTCAAAATCCAGCAGCCCCTGCATTAACCCAAAAGCCTTATTGAAAATCAAAAAGTCAAATGCCAACTTAATCTGTTGTGCAAACAATCTCCAGCCAATGCTAAACTGAGGATGTATATAAATTTGTCTGTTTGTCACAAGTATGAGGGAAAAAGTAAATAGAATATTCAGCACAAAGTTCTTTCCACAAACATAGAATCACATTGGACACACTATTTTGTAGCCTGCTTTTTTCCAGCAACTTATTATGAACATTTCCCCACAACAATATTTTTTTTTTTAAACATGTTTTTAAATTGTGGCAGAGTATTGCATACTATGGGCTTCTCAGGTGGCGCCTAGTGGTAAAGAACCCACCTGCCAATGCAAGAGACTCAGGTTTGACCCCTGGTTGGGAAGATCCCCTGGAGTAGGAAATGGCAACCTGTTCCAGTAATCCTGCCTGGCATTTTCATGGACAGAGGAGCCTGATAGGCTACAGTTCTTGGAGTCACAAAGAGTCAGACACGATTGAGCGACTGAGCACAAGCAGAAAGGATTGCATGCTATAGCTAAATCATAATTGATTAATTCCCCTCTACTGTTAAATATTTATGTTAAATAATTTTTTACTACAATAATAACAATCTTTATACACTTTTCTTAAGGATAAATACCTAGAAGTTGAATTGTTAATGTTAAGAGTTGTGATACATGTTTCCAAGTTCTTTAGAGAAGGATTATGTCCCCATCAGCCATATATGAACATTTTTTTCACCATCCCCTAGCCTACTTGGAGTATTACTATTTAATCAAAGGTTTTGCCAGCCAAATCAACAGACCAATCCCAACAAACTGCTGTTTTGAATTTGAATTTCTCAAATAACTAGTGAGGTAGAACTCTCAAAAAAAAAAAAATGTTTGTTATTAGCTTTTATTCTTTTGTAAGCTGCCTAGTTCCTTTATTCATTTTTCTATTATTCATTTTGCTTTTAATTTCAGCTTTATTGAGGCATAATTGACATATGAAATTGTTAGGTATTTATAGTGTGTCTTTTTTTTTAAGAGATTTATACACAGTTTTAATGAAAATTTTGAGAGTAACAATGTCCATCACTTAACCATGAATAAGACAGGGACTTTTCACGACATGAAGGAGCTAGAAATAACAAACTCTGAAAAGGAAGGAAAAAAAAAAAAACACTTCAGGCTAGTGCTTTGTGACTGTCAGAGGGAGGAAGCAACTCACAGCCAACAGAGAAGCTAAGGTGGTAAGATGCTTTGAATGACTAAAATTAAGGAAGCCGAAAACATCCTTAGCCAGGAATTTATGTCCTAAGTTGCTTTAGTTGTGTCTGACTCTTTGTGATGCTATGGACTGTAGCCCACCAGGCTCCTCTGTCCATGGGACTCTCCAGGCAAGAATACGGAAGTGGGTTGCCATTTCCTTCTCCAGGGTACAGCGTGTCTTGTAGTGATTTGATACATGTATATACTGTGAAAGGATTCCCCTGCCTAGTTGAATAACACATCTATCATTTCATTTCTTTTTTCAGTATGAACATTTAAATCCTACACTCTTGTCACATTTCAATTATACAATACAGTCTTATCAACTATAGTCACTATGTTTTACATTAGAATTTCAGACCTTATTCATCCTTTCATTTATTTTTTAATTGGAGGAAAACTGTTTCTGCTGTACAATGTGAATTAGCCATAATTATATATATTTAACTATATAATTAATTAAATACAATAATATCATTATATATGTGTGTGTGTATATATATATATATATATATAATTGGTAAAGTGTACAAACTTTTACTTATGAAATGAATAAGGAACTGAGAAAGTAGCATTGACATTATCCTGGGTAAAACAGATAGCTAGAGGGAAGTTGCTATATATTAAAAACACAGGTAGCCCAGACTGGTGCTCTGTGGCCATATATTATAGTATAGTATATTAGCCCTCCATCCCCTCCCTCCCCTCCCCCTGATCCCACCCCTCCAGGTGGTCACAGAGTGCCAGTCTGGGCTCCCTGTGTAATTAATATATAGCAGCTTCCCACTAGCTATCTGTTTCACACAGGATAGTGTATGTATGTCAATGCTACTTTCTCAATTCCATATTTATCTCCTAAGTAAAAGTTTATACTCTTCACCTATTAATTTTTTTTTACACGGTGGTCTATTTATGACATGAGTTGGATTACATAGGAAACCAGCATGACCACATATTCTAGATCATCTTTCTTGTAATAAGCTAAACTTACTGTAACAAATAATGTACCATTTTGCAAACCATATTTTATTAAAACAAAATCCAAGCAAAGAAAATTCTCTACATTAAATTTGATAGTTTCCATACATCACTTACCCTGTTTGACAGAAATAATGAGCTCATCTCTACTAATCTTCTAGATTTCGCATATGTGTTAATATACAATATTTGTTTTTTTCTTTCTGACTTTCTTCACTCTGTAGAGACTCTAGGTCCATCCACATCTCTATAAATGACCCAGTTTTGTTCCTTGACATATGTACACTACCACGTGTAAAATAGATAGCTAGTGGGAACCTGCCATAAAGCACAGGAGGTTCAACTCAGGGCTCTGTGATGACCTAGATGGGTGGGATGGGGGTGGGGTGGGGGTGGAGGAAGGTCCAAGAGGGAGGGGACATATATGTAGGTATAGTGGATTCACTTCATCGTACAGCAGAAATGAAACATTGTAAAATGATTATATTTCAATTTAAAAAATTAAGTAATAGCGAAAACAAACAAACAAAAAATCATGAGCTCAATGAAAGTGAGTTCTATTGTTCCTTAATGCATCTATCTTTAATGTATGCTGGGCTTCCCTGGTGGCTCAGCTGGTAAAGAATCTGCCTGCCAATGCAGGAAGTATAAGAGATGTGGGTTTAATTCCTGGGTCAGTAAGATTCCCTGGAGAAGGAAATGGCAACCCACTTCAGTATCCTTGTCTGGAAAATTCCATGGACAGAGGAGCCTGGCTGGCTATAGTCCATGTGTTCGCAGAGTCGGACATGACTGAACACACATGCCTAATGTGTGCTGATAAATAATGTATTAGTATTATCTAATCAGCTTGCTATGACATAGACATTACGTACATTATGTACTCTGTCATGACTTTTAATTTCATAACATCTCAGAAAAAGGTATTAAGCATTTCACAGATACTTGTTTTTTGTTTTTTATTGTTAATTTCTACAGGCTTATTATTAAACATGTGACCATTTGTCACATATCGCTAATACAATATTTTCCCCATTTTTTCATGTGTCTGTTTTTCATGGTATAATCTATCATTCCTTTTCCTTTTTGTTTTATACGTAGAAAGCTTTCCCACACCAGGATCCCATGATCCTTCCTAAGGCATGAGGCAGTTGGTCCAATATCCATGCTCTCCCAAATAAGCTGATGGTAAGCACTGCAGTGGAGCTTCCCAGGTGACACTAGTGGTAAAGAATACTCCCGACGTGGGTTCAATCCCTGGGTTGGGAAGATCCCCTGGAGGAGGCATGGTAACCCACTCCAGTATTCTTGTCTTAAGAATTCCATGGACAGAGGAGCCTGGCGGGCTACACTCAAAGAGTCAGACATGACTGAAGCGACTCAGCAGGCAGGCACTGAAGCATGAGCTCGGTCCCTCAGGGTAGAGAACACCCCAAAGTTCTTCCTGTCTTCACGGGCATGCCAATGGTTTACACTTGTTCTTCCAGGCAGGAAGAAGCTTAGCTATGGCATAACCTGGTCTGTCTTGAGTAGCCTCCCATGGTTTTTGCACAGACTCCCAAGGAATATTTTATAGTGATCTTGTCTCTTGTTTCCTCAGTGAAATGAAGCTAACAAACCTTCTAAGTATTTTTAACATGCATTACTTCACTTAATGTTCCCAAAAAGCATACTAGGAAAGTACAGTTACTACCTTCATTCTATAGGTGAGGGACCTGAGGTACAGAGCGGTTAAGCAATTTGCCTGGTTTCACCGTAGCCTGGCTACAATTACTACCTTCATTCTATAGGTGAGGGACCTGAGGTACAGAGCGGTTAAGCAATTTGCCTGGTTTCACCTTAGCCTGGAAGCATCAGAGCCAGACCACACCCAGGATGTCTAATTCCTGAGTCAGTGTTTCTAATCACTATGTCCTACAATCCTCCATGGAAGGTACAGACTTAGCTATTGCATCAACATCGCTTCTATGGGAAAGCTTGAGCTCTTCAGTATTGGGTGCACCAGGCCCAGGAGGTGAAGACCCCTACATAGGTCCTGCTCCCTCCTCACTGAGCCCAGCAGTAGGTAGGACTTCTAAAGTTAGGATGACAGTAAAGATGGGGCTGTCAGAGGAGCACAAGGCCCTAAGTGAATGCTTTATCAAGCATGCTCATAGATGCCACTCATGGAGGGCATCAGAGGGTCACCTTCCTCACTCCCAGGTGGTGTGATGACTCCGGGTATGAAACAACAGCTGCAGATTACGTGATGGAAGCTTCCTGGGGGTCAGCCCTGAGCTAGCTCCTGACTGCGACTATGTCACTCACTGGCTCCTCACTGAACCTATGTGGGAGGGTGAGTGTCCTCACTTTACAGACAAGGAAACCAAGGCCTGAGAGGTCCCCTACACTGGTGGCAGCAGAGTCGGTGTAGCTGAGGCTGGGCCTACTGATGCCAAGCTGAGGGAAACTTGTCCTGAGGGCAGAACACTGGTGATAGCTTAACTGCCCTGAGCCTCTGTTTCTTCACAATCCAGAGCCTTTCGGCACATATGACTGTGGGGATTAAGTAAGAAATACACGTGGGAAGGTACTCAGTAAACAGCTTGCTTTCAAATTAACAGAGTAGCCACTGGGCAAGACCTGCTTATAAAGGTTAATTAAAAACAGACCTTGGAAGAGTGGCCCAGGCTTTTCCCCCAGCTTACATGTGGCAGAGCAGCCTTGACAGAGCTCCTGACCTCTGTGTGAGTGTGTGTGTGTGTGTGTGTGTGGAGGAGGGGTCCTAGGAGTGTCCTCCTGCAGGTGTGCTGGTCTCAGAGCAAGAAAGAACCACTAGGGTTCCGCAGAACAAAATTCTTCCTGTTATGCTGCTCTTGAGAAAAAGCCTCAGTCTAAAAGCAGAGGTAGATGCTGCTGAAGGAGAGAAGAATCCAGTGTTGCCTTCTCCCCTCTGTTTAAATACATGTAACATATTAACAGTAACTTCAGGCAATATCACAACTCTATCCTGAAGCTCCCTGTCCCAGCTGTAAAATGGAGCAGATGGTATCTTACCTGTAAACATTTTACCAAGAGTAGTGGCCAGCCTGCCTCCCCACTCTAAGCTGCCAGCATGTGGTGGCCTTGTCCTCCCCCGCTTTCCTCCCCAGGACCCCTGCTACAATAAGTTGGGCTCTCCTTAGAGATCTCTGCTGGCTACACATTGGACTAGCTAGGCTTCCATGTCCCTATGATTCTTTGGTCTTACTCCTCATTGAGGAAGCTGATTTAGACCTGGGGACAGAAAAAGCCTGAAATACAGACCTAGCTTTACCCTTGGAAGTTGAAGTTAGAATTCTATGTGTGTAAGGTAAAGTGCACCATCACACCTACATATATTCTCCCAGCATAGGAAGTACTGTCTCATCAACTTACCTTCAACAGCATCTGGTACTTTACAAGTCTCTGACTTGGTTCTCTCAGACACGTAAAAAGAGGGAGATTGTGACCCAGTTGACGCTGGCATACCTTGAAAAGCCAAACAGAAATAGCATGAAACAAAATAACACACACAGAGAGAGAACAGAAGCAGGAGCATTTAAATACGACAGAGGAAAGGGGCAGGCTGGGCTAGTGTTTTTAAAGGCAAGTAGGGATGCCAGGCTGTTTATTTCTTTTTTTTTTCTTGCTTGTTCTTTTATGTTGTTTTGTTTTCTCAAGAATTCACTTTATTTTTTTTATTTTTTATTTTTTTTATTTTTTTTCCATTTATTTTTATTAGTTGGAGGCTAATTACTTTATATCATTACAGTAGTTTTTGTTATACATTGAAATGAATTTTGTTTGTTTGTTTTAGGATTTTTTATTGGAGTATAATTGCTTTACAATGTTATATTAGTTTCTGCTATACAGTGAAGTCAGTCCATTATAGGTATACATATATGCCTATTTATTTCTTTTAGAAAGTAAGTCCATAATGAGGGAGACAATGGGGCAGCCTTCTGGGAAGGAGGCAGCCTGTCTTCAGGTTGGGGCTTGGGGTGTGGGAATCTATTTAAGGGTACATGATAGGTTTATTGACACCATTCCAGGGATCCTCCTAGTGTGACTTAATTCCATTTTTAAAACCTATCTAAAACAAACAAACAACAACAAAAAAAAAAACCTATCCTATAAGGAAGCTATGGTACATATACACTATGGAATATTACTCAGCCATTAAAAATAATTAATTTGAATCAGTTCTAATGAGATGGATGAAACTGGAGCCCATCATACAGAGTGAAGTAAGCCAGAAAGATAAACACCAATACAGTATACTAACACATATATATGGAATTTAAAAAGATGGTAACAATAACCCTATATGCAAAACAGAAAAAAGAGACACAGATGTACAGAACAGACTTTTAGACTCTGTGGGAGAAGGCGAGGGTGGAATGTTCAGAGAGAACAGCACTTAAACAACTATACTATCAAGGGTGAAACAGATCACCAGCCCAGGTTGGATGCATGAGACAGGCACTCAGGGCTGGTGCACTGGGAAGACCCAGAGGGATGGGATGGAGAGGGAGGCAGGAGGGGGCGTCAGGATGGGGAACACATGTAAATAAATCCATGGCTGATTTATGTCAATGTATGGCAAAAAACCACTACAATGTTGTAAAGTAATTAGCCTCCAATGAATAAAAATAAATGGAAAAAATAAAAATAAATAAACAAATTAAAAAAAAAAAAAACCTATCCTAGAAGAGCACTCCATTTTCTCACCAGGCTACTGCTGTTCCTTACAGGTTGTCCCATAGAGACTCAGGGCAGCATTGAAACTCCCAGTGTGTAATTTCAAAATAGGAAAGACTTTAATAAACATAAATCCCAATGCCAAATTCCTCTTCCTAGTTCATACTTTTAGATTTCTTTAAAAACTTGATGCCTATGAACATTGTCCTGGGAAAAGAGTTTGTGGGAGACTTTAGAAATGCAGTGTTACCCCAAAGTAGGTGCAGTCTTGACATTCTTGCCAGATTGCCCTGGCTCGGGGCAGGTTCTTATGATATTTTAAATATATTTGAAGATCTTCTTTCTGGGTGAGAAAAAGTTAGAACAAGTTAACTAGTTAACATTTTTCAATAAAAGGATATATTGATACAGTTTATTCATTCACTCAATAGGCCTGAGTATTTTCATTGTGTAAGGAACCGGGGATGCACAACAAATAACCTTATGTTGGAGTGAGTGTGTGACAAGGAGGTAAACAGAGGGTTATAAACAACACAAATATGAATGGAGTACTGTGAGAGAAGCTCTAGGACTCCGGCCAATAAATAACTAAATTCATGAACAGGAGTTGGATTTTCTCTTTATCCTTTCTCCTCTTCTCTTCATCTGGGATACCCAGATGCAAAACCAAATGGTTTTGCAGTGAGTAATAAAATGGACAAAAATGTGTTTTTGGCTGATGGCCCCTCCTTTCTCTCTCCCCATGCGTGCGTGCTAAGTCACTTCTGTCATGTCCAACTCCTTGCAATCCTATGGACTATAGCCCACCAGGCTCCTCTGTCCCCCATGTTATTCTCCAGGAAAGAATACTGGAGTAGGTTGCCATGCCCTACTCCAGGGGATCTTCCTGACCCAGGGATTGAACCCATCTTCTATGTCTTCTGCATTGGCAAGCGTGTTCTTTACCACTAGCACCAACTTTACAGTCATCATGATGCCAACCCTGCAAATAAACCTAAGAAATAACTAAAAGATAGAAACATCCCAGAGGGAAATATGGCAGTGGAAGTTTGAACACAAACTAAGTGGTCTGGGCAATCCCTGCCTCAGACATCACCTTCAACCTGCAGCACAAGACTTCCAAGACATGAAAAGCTACACCACTATCTCATAGCTAGAGATCAAGAGGGATTCCAAGTGCTGTGTGAACTATATTCTCATTGTATCAAAGGCCATGAGAGGTGGGCACACATTTGCCAATATCCCAGGTAGAGAGAATACCCAAGCCTGCAGTCAGTTTGCCAGCTTCACCCTCTCCATCAGGAGAACCCAGTCCACAGCAGCTGTGCTTGCCACAGAGCCTGGACTGCTCCAGCAGAGATGACCTTGTGACCACTTCCTTGTTGATTTCTGTGTTCTCTTGGTGGATGCTGAGCTGATACCTGTGCTCCTGAAGCCTTCACTTCTTGCTTCTGTGACTGTACTTTGAGCATCACAGAACATTACATGCCTTCCAGCACTGAAACACACTGCTGACCTAAATTTGCTCTTCAGTCCAAAATTTTTTAGAGAAAACATGGGCACTAAAAAGCAGCATACAAAAGTGCCTGATCCCCTTACTTCCTTATAGAATAAATCAGGAGGCTAAAAAATTGCTACCCCAAAACTCATATTCATACAGGGAGATGCTATTGCTTAGGAATTGGGAAGACTGTTGCTCAGGTTCAGTTCTTGGCTTTGTTAGTTACAAACAAAGGTATTTGGTTATTTGGTCTGAGGTCAATTACTTAACCTTCCTTCACTTCAGTTTCTCATCTGTTAAGTGGGCTCAAAACTGCAGTCAACTCCTATGAGTGCTGTGAGATTAAATGAGGTGTATAGAACCCTCTCAACAAATGCCCAATACATTCAGAGTACTCAACAAATGGTAGCTATTGTTAAAGTACTTTTGACTTTGTAGAGCCATTCTGTGTGCAGTATTTGATTTCATTTCCATGACAACTTACATATTCGTATTACCAAGCTTGTTGCAAGGAGGAGGAAAGTTGAGGTCATGCTGATAGCAAGTGGCTCAACTTAGATGAGAAGTTAAGTTTTCCAAGTGACTTCCCTGGTGGCTCAGGCAGTAAAGAATCCACCTGCAATGTGGGAGACCTGGGTTTGATCCCTGGGTCAGGAGGATCCCCTGAAGAAGGAAATGGCAAACCACTCCAGTATTCTTGCCTGGAAAATCCCATGGACAGAGGAGCCTGGAGGGATACAGTCCATGGGGTTGCAAAGAGTTGGACACAATTGAGCAACTAACACTAAGTTTTACGAGTCCCACCCCAGTGCTTTTTCATTTGTACCACATGAGATCTCAGAGCAAATAAAATTCAAAGTAAACGCTGTCCTAAATAGAGCTTGGTCTCTGGGGCAAAATCTTCCTGGATACTACAGGCTATCCAATCTGATTAAAACACTTGACTAGAGCAATATTTCAAAGCTTACATCCATGATTAGTGGAGGTCTCAAGTATTATGAGAAAAGTTAAACTGCTGTAGTAAATAGTAGGTGATTCGCCTGCCTTTTTGACTAACAAATACAGGTCTTTTCACAGCAGTGATAATTCCCTCAAGGATTCTCAAACATTAAGTAATTGTAGTTTTTAATTACTTCATTTGTCCCAGAGTAATAGCTTTGTACTTGATAAGAATTTACTATCAGTATTTTGTCTCCAGTATCATAAATCATATAGAATTATATGCAGGTTTGTGGTCTGGATATGAAAAGCTTTGTAAAACTTTAGGAGAGAAATTCTTCTAAGAAAAGATGTTCAGTTAACAATTTCCCAACCATTTCCTAAAATTTGGACAATTTTTATTTGATAATATCCATTTGTTTCCCACAGGAATTTGGTCCTTTTCTCATTCAATAATTTCAATAAATCTTTGCAATAATGATATAAGCAATTATGAAATAATACTAAATTCTGAAACTAGATTTCATATTAGTGGTTTGATGAGTGTAAAGTTGTAAAATGGTATAAAACACTATAGCAGTGTTATAAAAGTAATTCAGAAAGGAAATTAATTAGATTGAATACAAAATAGTTTTTAAATTTTATTTATTTTTAATGGGAGGATAATTGCTTTATAATATCATATTGGTTTTTGCCATATATCATGAATCAGGCATAGATATACTTATGTCCCCTGCCTCTTGAACCTCCCTCCCACATCTCACCCCATCCCACCCATCTAGGTTGTCACAGAGCACCAGGTTTGAGCTCCCTGAGTCATATGGCAAATTTGCACTGGCTATCTAATGTTGCATATGATAATATATATGTTTCAGTGCTACTCTTAGTTCATCCCAACCTCTCCTTTCCCATCTGAGTCCACAAGTCTGTTCTCTATGTCTGTGTCTCTATTGCTTCCCTGCAGATATGTTCATCAGTACCATCTCTCTAGATTCCACATATATGCGTTAACATGTGATATTTGTCTTTCTCTTTCTGACTTACTTCACTCTGTATAATAGGCTCTAGGTCCATCTACCTTATTAGAACTGTGTCAAATGCATTCCTTTTTTAAGGCTGAGTAATATTCCATTGTGTATATGCACCAAAATTTCTTTATCCATTCATCTGTCAATGGACATCTAGTTTGCTTCCATGTCTTAGCTATCATAAATAGTGCTGCAATGAACATTGGGGAACATATGTCTTTTTAAATTATGGTTTCCTCAGGGTATATGCCCAGTAGTGGGATTGCTGGGTCATATGGTAGTTTCATTACTAGTTTTTAAAGGAATCTCCACACTGTTCTCAAAGTGGCTGGATCAGTTTGTATTCCCACTAAGAATGCAAGAAGTTTCCCTTTTCCCCACACCCTCTCAAGCATTTAGTGTTTGTAGATTTTTTGATGATGGCCATTCTGACAAGTGTGAGGTGATACTTCATTATAGTTTTGATTTGCATTTCTCTAATAATGAGCAAGGTTGAGCATCTTTTCATGTTTTTTTTAGCCATTGGTATGTCTTCTTTGGAAAATATTTGTTCAGGTCTTCTGCCCACTTTTGATTGTGTTGTCTATTTTTCTGGATGTCAGTTGTTTCATTTGCTATTATTTTCTCCCATTCTGAGGATTATTTTTTCACTTAGTTTATAGTTTCCTTTGCTGTGCAAAATTTTTTAAATAGGTCCCATTTGTTTATTTTTGTTTTTATTTTCATTACTCTAGGAGGTGGGTCATGGAGGATCTTACTGTGATTTAAGTTAGAATATTCTGCCTATGTTTACCTCTAAACATGTTTAACTCTAAACCTTTTATTCTGGTCTTATATCTAGGTCTTTAATCCACTTTGAGTTTATTTTTTGTGTATGGTGTTAGGGAGCATTCTGATTTCATTCTTTAACACACAGCTGTCCAGTTTCCCCAGAACCACTTACTGATGAGACTGTCTTTTCTCCATTGTATATTCTTGCCTCCTTTGTAAAAAAAATTAAGTGCCCACAGGTGCATGGATTTATCTCTGGGCTTTCTATTATGTTCCATTGGTCTACACTTCCTGTTTTTGTGCTAGTACCATACTGCCTTGATGACTGTAGCTTTGTGGTGTCGTCTGAAGTCAGGCAGGTTGATTCCTCCAGTGCCATTCTTTCTCAAGATTGCCTTGGCTATTCAGGGTCTCTTGTGTTTTCTTACAAATTGTGAAATTGTTTGTTCTAGTTCTGCGAAAAATACCATTGGTAATTTGATAGGGATTGCACTGAATCTAGTGCAATTTTTTGCATGACCCAATTTTATACTACCCAAAAGATTGCTTTGGGCAGTATAGTCATTTCCACAATATTGATTCTTCCAGTTCAGGAACATAGTATATCTATCCATTTGTGTTGTCTTTTATTTCTTTCATCAGTGTCTTATAGTTTAATGCATACAGGTCTTTTCTCTCTTTAGGTAGGTTTATTCCTAAGTATTTTATTCTTTTTGTTGCAGTGGTGAATGGGATTATTTCCTTAATTTCTCTTTTTGATTTTTCATTGTTAGTATATAAGAATGCAAGGAATTTCTGTGTGTTAATTTTATATCCTCCAACTTTGCTATATTCATTGATTAGCTCTAGTAATTTTCTGGTGGCATCGTTAGCGTTTTCTATGTAGAGAACCGTGTCATCTGCAAACAGTGAGAATTTTACTTCTTTTTTTCCAATCTGGATTCTTTTTATTTCTTTTCTTCTTTGACTGCTGTAGCTAGGACTTCCAAACTATGTTGAATAATAGTGGCAAGAGTGGGCACCCTTGTCTTTTTCCCGATCTTAGAGGAAATGCTTTCAGTTTTTCATCATTGAGAATAATGTTTGCTGTGGGTTTGTCATATA